GAGGGGGTCCAGAAACTCGGGGGGGGCCGAGGCAGGGGGGTTTAGGGGCAGGTCGGCCAGGGAACCCCGCTCTGCCCTCAAAGACGAGTCGTCCTCTGGGGGATGAGGGCAGCCAAGAGCAGGGTGGCCTCCCCAGCCAGCGACAGCGTCCCCCCGCTCCAGGGGCAGGCAGGAACAGGCCCCCTCGCGGCTGCACAGGGGACAGGGTAGGGGGCCCCGACGGCTGGGGCCACCCCCAAGGCTGCTGCTGTCTTCCCCCGGGGAGCTGCCCTCCTCTTCCTCCTCTTCTTCTTCGGCCCATGGGGCAGTCCCCCGCTCCCCCAGCACCTCGGCAGGGTCTCCTGCTAGGGTCTCCCCGGCACCCCGGCCCTCGGGGTCCCAGCCACTCAGGAGGAAGCTGCCGGATGCTGAGGACTGGGCCGGGAAGGGCCGGGCTGCAGGGAAGAGGGGGGAAGCCCAGGTCTCGGACACCAGCTGGGGGACCTCGGAGGGGGCTTGGGGGGCTTGGGGGGCAGGCACTCCTGGGTCCAAGGGGTCCCAGTCATTGGGGAAGAGGGGCTCTGGCGGGGAGCCATGCTCCTCGAGGCGGATGTAGTATTCGCTGCTTACGGAGGGGCTGCGGGCGCTGATGACCGGCAGCACACTGGGCGTGGACAGCGCCTCGTAGAAAGGGTTGGAGGGGTTGGCATGGGGGGCTGGGGGAGCAGACGCCGGCTGCCAGGTGGGTGCTCCCCCGCCCCGACCGGCCCCCCGCCGCGCCTTCTCCCACAGGCACTCAAGGTTGAGGCCACGGCTACTCTCGGTGACCGTGAGCACGTCATCAGGGTCAGCCCCAGGGAAGCCATCCAGAAGGGGGAACGGCGAGGAGAGGGTCCCTGGGCGAGGGGCGCTGTGCTGCGGGGGCCAGGGCCAGGGGAAGGGACCATCTCGGGGTGGGGGTGGCGGCGGCGGGGGCCTTGGGGGCCGCTCAGAGAGCAGGTAGGTGAGCTGCAGTTGTAGATCAGAGGCCGAAGGGCGCTGGGCAGGTGGCCGCCAGCAGGACTGCAGGATGTCATACCTGGCAGAGAGGGAGGAGGCAAGAGTGAGGAGAGCAGAGTCCCAGCGGGGTAGAGGGGTCACTGGGGGCGGGCAGAGACCAGGAGAAAGTCGGGGGCTGAGACTCAGAGGAGGACCGAGACCCGGGGGCGAGCAGAAACTCAGGGAAGGGGGCCAGAAACTCAGGGAAGGGGGGACAGAGACCCAGAGAGGGAAACAGAGTCCCAGAGAGACGGGGGACAGAGTCCTAGAAAAAAGACAGCAAGGCAGATGTGAGATGATGGTCGACATGGCCTTCCTGTTTGGGCTATGAGTTCTGGAATCACCGACAAGCAAGCAGCAAGGGTGTTGTAGGGTTGGAGAAAGTTAGGTTAAAACACCAGTGCTGCCACCCCATACCTCAGTTTCCCCATTCCAAGTGGCAGATTCTGGCAGAAGGTGGGGACGTCCCAGCTCCACACTCGGGGTGGCAGCGAGTGGTACGTGCAACTGTAGTGGGTGTGTGAAAAGAGCTGGGAAATTCTGGGAACATCCTGAGGTGGGAGGTGGAAGGTCAGGGGTCAGGCCCCATCCTCACCAGTAGTCCGCATAGGGCAGCTTGAGCCTTGGCCGGGCCAGCTTGACATGCTGCTGACGGACGACGAAGGCAAGGACCTCCTCATCTGAGAGATGGCGGTAGGGCTGTGCCCCAAACTCAAACAGCTCCCATAGGGTCACCCCTAGGGACCTGTGGGGAGCAGAGGGCAGAAAGAGGTCAGAGGCCCACCCTAACTGATTTGGGGGCTGCCCCGCTGGGCCTCAGTTTTCCCCAACCGTAGAACTTGTGACCCTTCGGTCTTCCTTGCCCTCCTTGGCACCCCCACGGCCCGGGCCTCCTCACCAGATGTTGCTTTCACGGCTCTGGTCCACCACCATGAAGGTCCCGTGCAGCTCCCCGAGGAGCTCGGGCGCTGCCCAGCGCAGCGGGATCCACAGGCGCTCGGGGGTCAGGTAGTAGTCCTCCTGGGGGGCGGACCGGGGTAAGGTCAAGCGGGCCGGGGCACCCCTCGCCGTCCCCCTGCCCTGATGGAGGGCAGTCCCCACCTTGTAGTTGCTGTGGGCCAGCCCTAGTCCCCGATGCGCACGGTGAGGTCGGAGGTCAGCAGGCAGTTGCGCAGGGCCAGGTCGCTGCGGGCAGGCGAGGTGGGTGAGGTAAGGGGCAGCCCGGCCCCCAAGCCTAGACTCCGCCTACTTTGCCGCACTCCTCCCCTCCTCCCCTGATTCCTCCGCCCACCCCAGGGGCCTCCTCGTCTCGAGGCTACCCCTCCTCTACTGACTCCTCCGTCCCTGGCTCCGCCCCTTCCTGGCTCCTCCCCCTCTCCGGACTCCTCCTCTTCTTCTGTGACCTCCCCCTCCTCCTCTCCTGACTCCCCCTCTCTCCTGACTACTCCCTCTCCTTTTCTGACCACGCCCCTCCCCCGACCCTCCCAGGTTTCCCCACCTTCTGTGTCTCGCACTCAGGCCTCCCTCCTTCCTTGAGCCCCTCCTCTGTAGCCTCACCTCCTACCCCGAGAGCCTCGCCTCCTTTCCCTAAGTAGTCCCTCCCCCTCCCCCGGACTCCTCCTATGGCTCCCGGCCTGCCACCTGTGCACGTAGTTGTGGGAGTGGAGATGTGCCAGCCCGCGGGCGATCTCCAGGCCCATCCTCTGCAGGGTCCGCAGGTCTCGAGGGGGCAGCTCAGGGGACAGGCCCTCGGGGGGCCGCTGGGCCCTGAGGTAGCGCTTCAGGTCCCCCTGGGAGAGAGGGCAGGGAGGGGTCAGCACCGCCACCCCCTCCCAGGCACCCCTACATCCAGCCAATCCGGTACGAGATGGGGGCGTCCTTTGCACTCAGTGGGCAGACCCTCCGGGCCTCAGTTTCCCCTGCTGCTTAGAAGCGCATAATAACAGACCGCCCGCAGATGCTAGTGCAGTGAGCCACCTGGGGGGCGACTGCGCATCTAAAGGAATGGCAGCGCCTGTCACAGGTGTCGCGATGATGACGATGTTATTGTCATAGATTCCTAGGAATTGCCCTCAGTCCCCACCCCGTCCAGCTACCTACCCCTCGCCCTGCTCCCCCACCCCCCTCACAGACCCTCACCAGTTGACAGAATTCCATAATCAGCAGAAAGGGCAGTGTCTCCACGCAGACGCCCAGGCACTGGAGGACGTTGGGGTGCTGTAGGCTCCTGCAGGGGTCGGGGGTTGGCTGGGTCAGGAAATGGCCCCTTCCATCCCACGCCAGCCTCCCAGCTAGACCAGACTGTTGCTTCAACCTCTTTGGTCTCAGTTCCTGCACTTGAGATTCTTCCCCCCTCCCCCCTCCTACCTTCCCCACATCCCCATCTCAGGGCGCCCCACTGTCTCCCAGTTTCCGGGCCAGACCCCCAGGGACCTCCCTGCGCCTCCTTCTGGCTCACCATTCCCTCAGCCTTTCTTTCTGCCCCTTGACTCTTTCCTCTTCCCCCGGCTTCTCCACAGCCCCAGCTTAAGCCTCCTCCTCACCTCCTGATCTCTCTTCTCAGCCTCCTCCCAGCCTCACTGCCTCCAGTCTCTCCCTTTCAATCTGTCCCTGACCTGCTGTCCACCTGTTCACAACCCTTCATGGCTCCCCAGTGCCCTGGGACAGAGCCTGGCTCATTCCTTGATCTTTCTTGCTCCTCTGGCTGCCCTCACTGCCTTCCCCAGCGTCACTCTTCACACCCGTGTACATCTCCCCAAATTCACAGGTGCCTGCGTGGGCTCCAGGCCTTTGCATGTACACGCCTTTCTGCGGAGAACACTCTCTTCTCATCCAAGTCCTACTCATCCCTCAGGCCTCAGTTTCAACATCATTTCCTCAAGAAATATCACTGCCCCCGACCCCAACACTGGATGATGCCGGTCCTTTATCCTCAAACTCTGGGGAAGGGTCAGACTTGGGGGTTTGAATCCTTGAAAGCCTTTCCCAGGTGTGTAACCTCGCAGAAGTCATTTCACCTCTCCCTGCCTCAGTTTTCCATAACATGGGGACCATCACTGTAACTCCCTCATACAGTTGTGGGGAGGAACTGAAGGGCATCAGAGAAAAGAGCTGGCACATAGCGGAAGCTCCTCACTACTACTGCTGTTTTATTTGAGCATTGTAACATATTGTTTGATTTTCTTAGTGCCCTGCATTTCAACTGCATTCTCCTGCCTCGCCGCCTTTGCACCTTCTGTTCCCTTTGCCTGGAACACGCTTCTCACAATGCTTTGCATGACTGAGTCCTCCCAGTCAGCCCTGCCTCCCCCACAACCCGGCCAAAGCTTCCCCTTTCTTTTTTCTTTTTTTTTTTTTTTTGTATCAAAGCTTCCCCTTTCTCTTATCACATTCTGCCTTATTTCCTCAAGGCACTTGCCAGCCTCTGATATTTTCTTGTTAGAGTTTATTTCTTCAATTGCTTACGTATTGTGTATCCCCTCCACTAGGCGGTGAGTCCTACTAGGACAAGGATTTGGGGCTTTGGGTTCCTGTGGCCATGTCCCCAGTGCCTAGACTAGTAGGTGCTCGGCAAAAATCTGCGGAGTGAAGATTTTACCCTGATACGGGGCCCCGGGGACTGTGGGAGATTAAAACATTTGGGGCTTGCAGCCCAGAGCCTGGCTTAGGGTAGGTACGCCAGAAATTATTGTTCCACTG